GTGTAGTATTATTTTATTGAAAATTTATGATTGTAAGTAAGAGAAAAAATATATATTTTAGAAGAATGGGTATCAAACATGTTATAAGTATGACCACCTAAACTCATATTTGATATTATTATTATTATTGTTGTTGTTGTTGTTGTTGTTGTTGTTGTTGAGCCTCGTTAGCTGAGTGAGCCGTTTTTGTGGGAACAAATGATAAAAACAAGCTTAAGTACATACTAAAAAGCGTGTTAATAATTTCTAGTTTTCGAACACTGTATCAAATTTGAACATACTTTCAAGAAGGGGTGGGCGTGGGCGTGGGTTGGGTTGGTTTTTGACCCAACCCAACACGATCGGTTTGACTGAAATTCAACCCAACCCAACCCACGTAAAGATTGAAACCCAACCCAACCCAACCAAATGTCGCCGGGTTGGTTGGGTTGGACAACCTCTAAACAAATATTAAAGTCCTAAATTACTGATTAATTTTTTTTACTGAATATCCAGTAACATTAATAGTCTTCCAATATCAATAAATTTCAAATCAATAAATTTCAAATATAAAACAGTAAAGTCCTCCATATATCCATCAAAATAATTATCCAATAACAATTTACATATGTATTACAAATTTACAATACTTAGATAAAAAATTACTGGGACTTGGCACAAGCAAAAATAGGTGACTTAATCCCCCACNTTTACAATACTTAGGTAAAAAATTACTGGGACTTGACACTAGCAAAAATAGGTGACTTAAGTCCCCGCAAAACGATTGGGAGTCTGGGACTTGGCACAGGCAAAAATTTGCGACTTCAGTCCTTGCAAAAATCTGTGATTTCAATTGATTCTAACTTTAGCTGATTCTGGCACACTAGTTGACTCCTACATTGCTGGAAGGATTAAGCGGTTGAAAGAGCAACAAACTTGTTTTCTTCTATTCTTTATTATAGAAATAATTAATGGAAAAAAATATAGTAATATTAAGGGTTTTAAATTCCTCGTATTTAATATGAGAAGATATATATTTTTTCTTTCTTTACCTTATGGTGGTATTTAATATCATAAAACTAATATCCAAATAGTGAATGGCCCCAAGGAAATGCAAGATATATGATTATAAGACATGTATGTTATATATCAAAAAAGGTGGAGCCATTTGTCATTTTTTATCATACATATGAATGAAAAAATGTGTATTTCCACAGTAAACTCATATCAAACAATCAAGAGCACGAGACCAGGGCTTTATGCAATGGAAAAAATCACAGTAGAAAATACCTGAAAACGTGTAAAGAACTAAGGAAGCCCTTGA